CTATTAATGATGGAGGTTCATCGGGCTGGCAAATATTTGTTGGTGTTGTATGTCTTTTGCTGTTCAACACAATACTCTTCTATCTCGAACAAGACAATGCTGAACATGTGACTTCTGCTCTTATGGCTCGTCTTTCTCCCAAAACAAAGGTCCTCTTCATAATAAGATTCCTTGTTTTATACGCAAGTGGTTTAGTTTATGTTATATACAATCTTGAGGCTATAATCTCAAACCTTTTGTATGTTTTTATTGTTTTGGAAAGGTTCTAAGAGATGGAAAATGGTCAGAGCAAGAAGCTTCAGTTCTTGTTCCTGGAGATGTTGTGAGGATTAAGGTCGGCGACATCATTCCTTGTGATGCACGTCTTCTCGAAGGAGATGGTTTAAAAGTTGATGTATCTGATCTAACCGGAGAATCAAGTCCCATAACAAAAGGTCCAGGAGATGTAGTTTACTCCGGTTTTACTTGCAAGCACGGTGAGATGGAAGCGGTTGTGATCTCCACTGGAGGCAACATGCTTTATGCGGGTTATCTTGTCGACAGTACAACAAACAAAGTTGGACATTTCAATAAAATTGTCCAACTTCTGCATAATCTTTATAGCCATTGGTATTGTGATTGAGCTCACCGTGATGTACCCGATTCAAGAAAGAACCTACAGAGACGGGCTCGACAATCTTCTGGTTCTTTTGATTGGTGGGATCCCCCTTGCATTGCCTACTCTTATATCTGTGACCATGACTATTGGATCCCTTAGGTTATATGATCAAGGAGCTATCATGAAAAGAATGACCACCATTGAAAAGATGGCCGGTATGGATGTTCTGTGTAGCGATAAAACTGGGACTCTGACTCTCAACAAGCTTAGTGTTGACAAGAATCTGATTGAGGTTTACGCTAAAGACGTTGAGAAAGAACAAAGGATCAAGATGATATTGATACCACTATGGTTGGAATGCTAGCTGATCCAAAAGAGGTAACTATAATAAATTTTAATGCTCTGTCTTTCCTCTGTTTTAGTCTTGAACAATTTTTCTTTTCTTATTGTCAGGCAAGAAATGGAATTGAAGAAGTTCACTTCTTTCCATTCAATCAAGTTGATAAGCGAACCGCTTTAACTTATATCGATGGTAACGGAAACTGGCATCGAGTAAGCAAAGGCGCTCCCGAGCAGGTAACTAAAACTGACTATGATTTACTTTTAGGTACAATTCTGTTTCTCTTAGATGAATAACTATAAAGAAAAAAACCAATTCGTTGATGATTCAGATTCTTGATCTTTGCAACGCAAGTGCTGATCTGAGGAAGAATGTCAACTCTACAATCGAAAAGTACACTGAGCATGGACTCATGTCTTTAGCTGTTGCAAGATAGGTCACAAAAAGTTTTACATCTTGCAACAAAATTTTATGTATATATACTTTATGCTAAACTTTTGTGTTTCATTGTTACAGAATGTACCTGAGAAAACAAAAGAAAGCTCTGGTGATCCATGGGAATTTATTGGTGTATTGCCTTTGTTTGATCCTCCAAGACATGATAGTGCAAAAGCCATAAGAAGAGCTCTAGACCTCGGTGTCAAAGTGAAGATGTTTACCGGTTTATATCTTTACCTTTTTCGGCTTTGTTATATTGCGAAACACCGACTTTGTATCTTCGGTTTCTTCCTTATGTTTCCATTGGTTTTATAGGTGATTCACTTGCTATCGCGAAAGAGACTGGACGTAGACTTGGTATGGGAACAAACATGTACCCATCTACTTCTTTACTCGATAAACACCTTCCTATTTATAAGTTGATTGAGAATGCTGATGGCTTTGCTGGTGTCTTACTAGGTTTGTTTAAGAGCCATTTTTTACATATCTTGGTTCCGAATTAAAATAACAACTACTATCTTTAAATTCTCGTTACCAAATTCATTCAGAGTACAAATACCAAATTGTAAAATCGTTGCAAATGATGGAGCATGTTTGTGGTATCATTGGTGATGGAATGAATGACGCTCCTGCGATGAAGAAGGCGGATATTGGTATTTCTGTTGCGGGTGCTGCTGAATATGTACTAGCTGCTTCGGATATAGTTCTTACTAAGCCTGGACTTAGTGTTATCATCGACGCGGTTCTGATCAGTCGAGCTACTTTGCAACAAATAAAAAACTATTCAGTAAGTGTGCATGCTCTTATAACAAACTACACAACCTTTCGACCAATTGTCACTTAGTTGTGAGTCCTGGGCGTTCGGGTATTTCGGGTAAGGGAATTTAGGATCCATTCGGTTATTTTAGATTTTTAGTTTGAGGTTCGGATTAGTATAATTAAATAAAAAATAGTTAAAACTGAATAAAATTTGATGAAATTTTGACGAATATGTCTAAAAATTTTAAGATATTTAGATTATTTAAATATTTGGAATTTGGTCTACATATATATGATCACTGTTTCGATTTTTAGTTTATTTTGTACTCCTTTCTCTAACCAAAAAATGGGTTGAGTTATAACTTATAAGCTTAGAAGTGGAGATGTTGTGGGTTAGAATCTGGGGTTATACATATTTTTAATAGTGGTTCGGTTTCATTTGGTTACTCGAATGGATATCGGTTTGGTTCGGTTTGTAACCAGTATCTATGGATACCTGAAACACTATACATTCGGTTATTAGCCTCTAACCGAACCCAAACCAGAACCAAAATTTCAGTTCGGTATCGGTTTGGTCCATTTAATTCGGTTAATATGTCCTCTAGTTGTGATGACTGATGTTATCTTTTAACAGGTTTATGCTGTTTCAGTAACCATCCGTGTTGTGGTAAGTAAATCAAATCTTGTATGTTTTTTCTTTAACATCAGTAAATAATTTTATGTTTATAATTCATCACTCTTTTTTTGCCTTTTTATTTTTACAGTTTGGGTTCACGTTGATCGCTTTAGTATGGAACTTCGACATTTCACCACTCATGGTTTTGGCCATTGCATTATTAAACGATGGTGAGTTTTCTTGAATTCCTCAAAAACTCGTAGGAAATTCTTAAAATACAACACGTGATTTTTTTTTTGCAGTTTCTGACGAAATAGTGAGAATATTATTTCGACAAATTTTCGAAGAACAAACTTCGTAGGGAAAAAAAAGAAATATGTCTAAGAATATTTTCGATGAATTTCCGTTTAAATTGTTTTGTCGGAATATTTTAAACTTTTCTGACAAATTTTCAACAATTATTTTGTCCATCATAAATTTGTCGGAATCTTTCTGACTATTTATTTCGTCGGAAATAATCGTCGGAATTCGCTATGTTTTCTTGTTGCCACTCTTTAATTTTTTTTTTCTCTAAAGACAAAAAATTAATAATAAACATTATTAATATTACTCGACAGGAGTCATCATGAGTGTCTCAAAGGACATAGTCAAGATGCCTTCTCCTACACCAGATAGCTGGAAACTCAAGGAGATCTTCTTGACCGGCCTTGTTCTTGGAGGCTACATGGCTCTAGTGACTGTTGTGTTCATTGGGGCTGCATACAAAACCGATTTCTTCCCGGTATGTATTTTAACTGATCCCTATATTCAAATCCACCATAACAAAAAGCAATAACACAAAACTCTTGTTTATTTTCATATAGAGAATGTTCCATGTGAGTTACTTGAGAGGCAACGAACATGAGATGATGTCTGCTTTATACTTACAAGTCAGTATTATGAGTCAAGCTATAATCTTCGTCATTCGATCGAGAAGCTGGTATTTTATCGAACGACCTGGATCGCTCTTACTTTGCTCTTTTACCCTATCACAATGCGTAAGCATTAAAAAACATGATTCTATTTTCTTCTTTCTCTTCTTTGTAAAGTTTTCATTAATGATTTCATTAAACTTGACCTTGTAGCTTGCAACAATAGTTGCGGTTTACTTGAGTTGGGAAACTGCGAGAATGAAGGGAATAGGATGGGGATGGGCTGGTGTCATTTGGCTCTACGACATCGTCTTCTTTCTCTTGTTAGACATTGTCAAATTCGCAATCCGTTACATACTAACCGGAAAAGCTTGGCATAATGTGATTGACGACAAGGTAAACTTGGTTTTGAAGGATGACTCAAACCAACTCAGCTGGAGGATCTTTACCAATCCATCTTCCATCTTTGATAGGATACTAAATGGTAAAAGTTTAGGCCATACTTGCTCATTCTTGCAAGTGTCACCTCCTCTCGATGGAAAATGAATATTTGATTAGGCATTGCGCGGATTTAATACTATACTAGATTATTACATGTGCTATAGCAATGAGTTGTATTTTGCTTTCTACATAATTTTATATATTTTACATTTTAAAACAAATATGTTATGTTAGTTATAATTATTCTCACCGTTTGTTATAAGAATCACAATTCATTTAATCATATAAAATATTACATTTAACTCGTCGCTCGCAATAAATATTTGTTTAAAAAGACCAAATTAAAGCATTCATATTTTCTTATTTTTTTATAAGATTTTTATGATATTTTTAAAAAATATGAAGTGAAATTATCATTACATGTTCCTTGTTTGTTTGACGTTGAACCCAAATTTTGGTGTAATATACGACTCAATCATGGATAGACAGTGCAAAGTGCACACCACCTTTATTAGGAAAAAAAAAGTAGAAACAACGTTGAAAAATGTTTGAAAGAGATTTCCACTAGAATTTGAATTTGAACTATAATATATAGTATGTATATATAAACGATTTCCACTAAAAGTTGAATTTCATATAGAAAAAAAAATGAATATATATGGGTTGTAATTAAAGCTGATTCAGTAGTAGGTGGAGACATTAAAGTTATAAACATTATCAATTACAATCACACAAAAAGAATCCATAAATAAGAATATTATGACAAGTGTTTGAAGAAGGATTGTGTTGGCAATTTTGATCATATTTGGTTTTGTCATATAATCTCAAAAATCTAAAAAAGGATTTGAAAACAAAAAAAAGTTTTAACAAATCCCATATGAGAACTCTGAATCAAAATAACAAATGATACAACACTAATACATATGTGTGTTCTCCTACTATACATAAACCTCAATAGCCATAGAGTCATCATCAGCAAAACAAAGCAATACGTCTCTAGTGATGAATCATGATTTGTAGAGAAAGATAAATGTAGTTTCTTCTAACATAAAAGAAAATAAAACAATACAGATCCTTTGAGTTAACCCAACAAGGTTAAGGCTTAGAAGACTTAGGTGAATTAGAAAAATAATTCTTCTTGAGGTAAATGACCCAAGTAACAACTTCCAAGAGTAAAGTGATTCCTCCTAAGGTCCCAATCACAGCGATGTAAGCTGTCTTGTAAGTATGCTTTGGGTTTAAGATACTAAGACCTTTGAAAACATTGATGATTCCAAGGATGATGATAGAGTATCCAACTCCATGGTGATAAATATTCCAAAGGTATCTATACTTGTGGTCCTTCTTTGGCCGCAACAGCAACGCAAACATCTTTAACCACGCGCAAAAAGACACAAAAGCATATAGTTCAACACAACAGAACAAGACCTATCTTTTGTATTATTGGCCACTAATATGCATGGTCGTCCTAAATGAAGATTAAGCATTGGTTTAGATTACCTGAAGAGTGGCCATAGAGAAGAGAGTAATGCCTATGTTTCTGTGAGTGTTGTACTGAATGCCTTTGGATTCGGAACCGAGCCGAAGTCCGGTAGCCCATCCGGCAACACCGAGACCGTACGCCGACACCTGGCAAAACACGTGGAGGTAAAACCAAGCAGGATCAGCTGATTCAATTATCTTCATATACCTAGCAATCATGGCTCCAATCGGAAACAGAATCCCCCAACTCAGCGCGTTCAATATCCCATGGATCTGCAAATTCAGAGTCAAGACTCCAAGATTTAGAAGAACAGTATTTCAAAAATACAAAATCAACCAAGTCGCCGTGGTCCAGTGGTAAAGGGAGGTAAGTCCCGCCACTGGGTTCGAGTAACATTAGCCACGCGAGTTTGAGATTTAACATGGTTTCCCTCGCCCCCAAAAGATTAATCTTTGGGCCTAGAAAGCTTTTGGGATCACTTTTAAATTATCAAAAAAAAATAAAAAAATCATGAAAAACTAAACTCACGTTTCTCTTATGAACCTTCTCATCACCACCTCCAGAAACTGTAGGGGTAGCTCCGGTTAGATCGAGCGCTCCCATGGAGTTGAGATTAGGACCACTAAGTTCATGAACCGCTATTCTTCCATTGGTCACTCCAGGCCCGACCTGCCAAACCTGATTAACCTTCCCTTTGGCCGCTAAATCCGCCGGAACCTTTACCTTTGCAAAGATTCTCAAAGCTCCACCGTCTTTAGCCACCTCCTCGGCCTTAACATCCCACACTTCAAACGAAAGCTTCGAAGGAATAAGAGAGCTGTAGGTGACAATGTTAAGAGTGGTAACAGAGGGGACTCCAGTTTTAGGATCCTTAGAGGCAACAAGGGCTTGAGATCCAACCATACCGGTGGATGTAGGGTTAATAGCCCAAGCGATCCAACCACCAGGTTTTGACGGTGGAGCAGAGAAAACAACGGAGAGAGTTGTGTTAGATGAGTCATAAGAGTAATGGAGAATGGCTTTAAGGTCAGGGAGGTCGAGGCAGTGAGGGTAAGACTTGACGCCGGAAAATGTCTGTGAAGAACACTGTGACACAGCCGGTGAGAGTAGTAAAGCCCAAAAGACAAAAGAAAGAGAGATTCTAAGGTAAGAAGAAGCCATGATGAGGATGAATGAGTTGTGTAGTAATCGTTAAGGTATTGGTCGGAAGAAATAAATAGATGAAATATTGTGATAATTCTATGATACACACGTGGTTTCAGCTAAGTAAGAATTTGTTTTTTATATGTTTCAGTTTTTAATTTATTTTCTTTCCAAACAGCAAAACAAACTTTGGTTTTGTTGTCTGATTCTGGAAGATTGTGAAACAGAACATGCATAATCAGATTAACTAGTTGACAGTTATGTTTTGACCTAAAGAGTAAGGATCTTAAAGTATTTTTGGCCTTGAAAATGTGAGGATTTTTAGATATTTATTGGGTTATTTTATATACCTTTTATTAAAAATATTAATCTAATTAACATTATTCTAAATCAGTGAACACCTTTTTCAAGTAATTTAGGAAAAGAATACAAAAATCTACTCTCTTTTTTCTCATTTATATCTTTTAAAAAATGATAAATCATTTAATTCCAAATTATCTTGATTCTCAATCAAATATTCAAATTTATCTAAATATACTAATTTAAAAGAAAATTTTTGAGAAATACCCCTTTTGGTGTACTCCTTTTTAAAAATACCCCTTTTATCTATCTATTTTCAAAAATACCCCTATTTAAATATAAAAATTATAATATTGTATAATTAAAAACATATATACAATATTCAATAAAAAAATATTTTGTATATATATTCAATGTATTAATTTTTATTAATTAGTTAGTTTCGATAATTTCAAAAGTAAACTAAAAAAAACCAATTAGAAAAAATAATTAAAAACAGAAAATTTTCCTATTTTTAAAAATATTTGGACACGAGTATCATTTGGTTTAATATTCGAATATTTAATATATAATATGTGAATTTTAAATATTAAAGCATAAGAATCAAACCAATTACTGTATGTGTGAATTTTATTCTACTAGTTATAAAAGTTGTTAGATCTTCTATCTTATAAACTAGGTCCGGACCCGCGCTACAGCGCGGAGGAAAATTACCGGATTTTTAGTACTTTGTACGTTGCGAGATAATTTTATTTGTGTTTGCTTTACTTTATTTTGATCAGTAATTAAATTTTATCATTTTTAGATTGTATGTGTTGGTTTCGAATATGTTCAAAATTATTTAAATTGTATGATTTTAGTTGGATTGTTAATTTTAGAACAATATGTGACATATATACATGTATAAATATTATACAAAGAAAAAAAAATATTATACAGTGAATCATTTTTAAAATTTAGGGATTGACCCGCGGTACACCGCATAATCATAAATACATGATTTTAACTTGGACCTTTCATGCAGTTTTGTAAAGTTGCAAATCTCTAGAATAAACAAATAAAGAGCCAATGATTTCTTATTTCTTATCGTGTTTAAATGTAAAATCTGTGTTGAAGTTACAATTTTCTGGTAGCAAAAACTTATTTATATAGATCATATTTTCTTAGGGTTAAATTGGAAAAAGATTAGTTTTATAATCAAGCCAAAAATTCGAAACTATTGCCAAATAAATATTAAAGATGGTCATAGAGAAAAAAAAATATATATTAAAGATGGTTGAAAATGAAATATCTCGTAACTGGTGTGAAGATCATAGTTAATATAGGAGAAAACTATACATCCAAATATCAATATAGTATATTTAAGGAAGATTTTGTTTTGAAATATTATGGATAATTTGATAATGATTATTTTATATTTAATTTATATTTCTGATTTTTAGATTAATTTGTTAAACCAATATACAAAATCATACATTAATGTATTTTTCCTTAAACAAATTAAGATTACTGTACTTTCCCAATCCGATATTGATGGTTTAATTTGATAGATTTCGAAATAATAGATATGAAAACTGGTATTTAATATCCTTAAATTTTTAGTAAGATCAAACTGAAAAATTCCGGGTTAAATTTTTTTTTTAAAACCCGACCCAAGAAGCATTTGTACTTCTCTTTTACTATAGTAGGGATATTAAAAAGAAACATTGTGATTTTTTTATTTATTTTTACGTGTTATTTTTATTTACAATTATTTTTTCTAATTGTTTTTTTTAGTTTAGTTTTCAAATTATAGAAACTAACAAATTATAAAAATCAGTGCATTGAATATATATACAGAATATTTTTGTATTGAATATTGTATATATCTTTTTAATTATACAATATTATAAATGATTCAGTAACAAAAAAATTTTAATATTAAAAACCTAAAAAATTCTTTATTTTTTGAATATTTATGTTGGTCAACGCCGGTCAAACTGGTAAAAGCCGGATTCCGACGAAAAGTGTACATGAAAAAAATGTTCGTGATGTTGGCTACATGACTACATATAGTTCGTATATGTGGGCATGCAATGCATATAGTTTGTGTAGTTAGAGATACATTTTTTAATTTCGGATGTGTGGCCATGTATTGTAGCATATTTCGTGTAGTTAGGTATCTTTTATCCTATATAAAAAGCATTGAACATGGGCAATAATATTGATAGTGATAAATTAATCACATAATCAAACTCATTCTCAAGAAAATGAAATCACACAATTTAAACTATCCCATTTCTGTGATATTAACCCCTTTCAAACAAACAATCATTAGTCGCACTCGCTGGTCGCAGTCGCCGACACGAACATGGCCAAAATGTCTTAAATCTACATTCTACATTTTGTGTGATCAAGACTAATATGAATTTAAACAGCTAGCCCTTAGAGAATGAGAAAAATAATAGACATGTTACATGTTTACATAATTAAAATGATCACTGATTCGGCCCATTATATATGTGAAGACTAATCTTAGTTTAAAGTCACTGTTACATAGATGACCAAGACTAAAAATGTGATAATGAAGACTTGAAACCCAACCAAACCCAAGAAACCCAACAAGAGCACCTCGGCCTTCACACTTCAAAGAACAAACTTTTTCACAAACTTGTCAAAGGCCCTTCAAAGAACAAAACATGGTTGCTCTTGTGAAGATTTCACACAAGCTTCTCTTTCTTCATTTTATTTCAAAATCTTGTGATTGTGTTGTGTAAAATCTCTTCCTACAAATTACTATGGCAAACAAAGCATGATTTAAACCCCAACCCATTGATTGCATATAATGCAAAATATTCATTTAGAGAATCAAAACCCCAACCAAATAAATTATACAAAAAGTTCATGTGGAGATCAACCATGTAGTATAATGAACCAAATACTTTACCCATAGACATAAATTGTGTACCAAATTGTTGTGTCTATAGGTTCTCAACTCGTTAGCCATCCCTTAATGTGAGCTGTCTTTATTTTCAGCTAGTTTCTGAATTTGGTTATAAAACCAATCACGTTATTGCTTCTTTGTTTTCACATTTACTCATCGGTTGGGCTGATTCGAGATTTGAGAAGAGTCAGCTTGTGACTCCATTGCACCTTTTATAAAAATTCCATTTAGCAAAACATGTGAAAAGACATTAAATGCATGCCACTCGTGAAAACAAATCACACAGCTTGGTTGAGGAAATATTCTATGGACAAATACTAAACACACCAAACATTTTGATTCATCTCTTCTCATCTACTAAATACTAATTACTATCATCACATGGTTCTTGTAGTCATATATACAAAGTACAAACAGTTAGATTTTATGTATTTTTCGAGTGTTTATATAAGTACAGCCCAAAAAAAAAGAGCTCGTATTTACTAACTTAGTCAATAATATAGTAAAATGTTGGCTCCAAAAAATATATAAAAAAGTCATGGATTAAGCTAACAACACATTTATACTTTGTATTATAAATTATCAATATTTTGGTCTAAAACTCAACTCAAACACCTCTTCCCTTAAGAACCCTACAATATTCTTATGTTGAATTTGGTAAAACCAAAAAAGAGAGAAACAAAGTGTCAACATCATAAGAAACCAAATTAACACGTTCAAGTTTCATTTCAATATTAGTGACTTAATAACAACAATTCAACAACAACCACCTAGATTTGTATATTGTGATTAATGTAATATTAATATAGTCTAAGAGTCACCATAGAGGGCTCTCTAAATCATCATCATCATAATTGCGAAATAGACAAAAGGAGGAAGTAGGTACATCATCATCAAACTCCAAGTGAATATATTGATGATGCCACCGCCAAAACCAGTTCAATTACATCTTCTGTTTCTTCACTTTTCCTTCTTTAGAACCTGTCTTCTCTAAACCACCCAACCCAATTCTTTTTATTCTTATACTTTTTCATATTCGGATTTGAGTTTTTATTCTTTTTCTTTTCCGAAAGTCCTCTTAAATCGAATACAATAATAACAAAGAGTTCTCATGAAGCTAGTTGGCATATTATTCTATATATTAACGAATATTCTCTGAATCGATTATAGATTTGCCATCTTTTTCGCAATGAAATTTATGAATTTTGCCATTTTATCTAAAATTTTTATAAATTTACCATTTTTATAACACATAAAAATGCGATTAAACATGCATCTGACTTATATTATATTTGCTTTTATAAGTCGGTTTCATTTGATTTAAAGATTTTAATATTTGTTATAAAGTATGTATTTTATCAAAAAAAAAATCATAAATACAAATATATTCACATAATTAGAATTGGCAAATGCATAAAATTTTAGAAAAATGACATATTGTGAGATTTGCATTGGAAAATGGCATTTTTTGTAAGTGGCTAGTTGGGAATTTAGTAGCCTTAAACAATGATCAACATAAATATATTTCTACAAATCTATAAAATAAAGTTAAAACTAAAAGACATTAAAATTACCATTACTAATCCTATCATTAGTTTTGATATTACTATTATCAGTAAATATTTCACGTACGAATTTCTCCACGTCGATTTTGGAAACCTCATAATTTTCCGGCGCCGGAATATACGGTGGTCGTGAAACCTTAACCACCATATCCCAATCCAACCCTCTAAAGAAATCGTGTCCCTTGATTCCTTCCACATTGATCCTACGGCTAGAATCTTTCTCCAACAGTTTTCTTACCAAGTCTCTTAACGTTGTCCTTTCTCCGACCAAACTCGGCGGTTCAGTTAATATCTTAAAAAACGTCTCTTTCCTGTTAGATCCCCTAAACGGCGTCGCTCCGTACAACATCTCATACAAAACCACTCCTAACGACCACCAATCCACGGCGAAGTCGTGGCCGTTCCCGGTGATTACCTCCGGAGCAACATATTCCTCAGTTCCAACGAACGAATTCGACTTCTCCCCCGACGACTCGGACGATCTCGAAACCGAGTCGTCCGGGGAGATCCCGGAGTTACAAAAACCCGAAAACGCGAAAAAGGACCGTTCTTTTTTCGTCGTCCTCGTCGTCGAAAGCCTCGGCGATTGCGGAGTTCTTGGAGGTAGATTCGTGGAAAGATCGAAATCAACAAGCATCAAATGACCATTTTCTTGAACCATAACGTTATCAGGCTTCAAGTCTCTATACACAATCCCTTGATTATGCAAATACTCAAGTGCAATCACAAGCTCGGCCGCGTAAAACTTTATAATCTCGTCTGAAAACATTTCTTCAGACTGTTTCTTCCTTAAAGAATTGAGATCTCTTCCAGGACAGTAATCGATCGCGTAACCGACAACTTTGTCAGTAGATAAAACACCATGAAGACGTGGAAACAGAGGATGGTCGAATCGAGACAACACTCCTTGTTCGAAACTAACGCGTTTATACTCATCATCTTTGGCCTTGTTTGTCTCGATTGTTTCTCTTAGTATGACTTTTAAAGCAAGCTTTTCGTTATCGGCTTTTACGAGGAACACAACACCTTTGGATCCACGACCAAGGGCTGAGAAAACTTCGAGATGGTCGAAGTTTAGAGTCGGGATCTGATTACTCATCGAAAAGAGTTTGGTTTTGATTGTTTTTTTGTGGTTCAATGTTCTTTAGTTCTCTTTAAGTTTAGTTTATATAGAAAAAAAAGAGTAAAGTGTAAAGCTTTTCTAAAAGTCGTATTGATTTTGTTTACTTGCGGAGAAAGACTTGAATAAACGTAGTAAGGGATACAAAAGTCTCTTAACGTTACTTTTACCATTTTACTACTTCTCGAATCACAATTTACATTGAGCACTTTGACGTAAAAAGGTCTAATTATATTAATTTTCAAATGTCATTGTTTGCATTTTTAGTTAAGTTAAAAGGATATATGATTTATATATAAAATGTAGAAAAAATCAAATCTAAAGTAATGAAAAAGTAAAGAATGCCGTGAAAATACATGCATTACTTCTCAAAACAATTCCAGAGAAGTGAGAATTAACTAATAAACCAACAAGGCAAAAAGAGTAAAATAATGACTTTGTATATAGTTTATTTTTTTTTAATTCCAAGTTCATATATTTTAAAATAATATATTACTAAATGGTATATATTTTATATTTTTTTTCTACGAAACAAATACAGAGTAATCTTAGAAGTTTTGTAGCACGGTTTTTTTTTTTGGTACAAAGTAAATAAAACGTAAGTCAAAAGTATTTATTTTTTTATTATGTTTTTTTTCGGATGGTTTAGACTTTAGAATCTGAAAAAGATAAATATATACATGTACACTAAGGGATATATATAAATTAAGGTTGGTAAATAAAAAGAGGAGTATATGTTAGATCCTAGGACATTACAAGCAATATTGTCCTTATATTCGTAAAACCAATCATAGATACCATATCTAAATATCGGATATTTGTTATCCGTTTTAAAAATTAGTAATATTTGTATCTTAAATATTTTTCATTTTACTATACGTATCCTTTCGTTTTTATCGAAAAATGGATACAACTACTGTTTTTTAAGCTCAAAACTACTATCTAGATATTTAGAATTCCATTTCCGATTTTGTTCGGTTTTAATTATTTTCTCTTGGGTTTCGGATATCCGCAATAGTATGATTATTTTTAAAAAAATTTAAAATTAAATAAAATTTGATTAAAATTTTGAAAAATATGTCTGCAACTTTTGGAATATTTTTCTTCTTTTAAATAATTTTGATTATTTTGGTTTAAAACATATGATATCTAAGTTTTTAATGTATTAATAATTAGGTTAATAGGTTATATCAAATCTAAATATAATTAATATTTTTTAGATATCTTAGCCATGAGTCCATAACTAATTAACTATTATTGACTAGTTTCAAACTCATCACAAAGGAGCCACATGTGACCATTGATTGCTACATGTCATCAATTCACAACCCCAACTTTAACACACTTGAGGTGACGTGGCAACACTACAACCATTATTTTATAATACCGCTTTTACCCCTAAACCCTCTCTCCGCGTAAAAAGCCAAGAGAGCACCGTTGTTTCGGATTCAGAGATCATCGTCTCCGTCGTCGGAAAACTCAACATAAGCTTAAATCAATGGCCGGAAAACTCATGCACGCTCTTCAATACGATTCTTACGGCGGTGGCGTCGCCGGTTTGAAGGTTTTAATCTCTCTCTCTCTATAAGTGATTTTGTTATTGAGATTTTGATTTCTTCGAATTCGATTAGGTTACAGAGCTTACTTAGATTACATGATACATTGATTTGATTTTAAACACCTTAGCCAAGTTTAGCTTCTTCGTATGTGATTACTACTTGGATCTCTTTGTTCTGGGAATGTTTGGGAGATTTGAATACAGAGCACACGAATGTTAACAATGGTGGTTATAGTTTTAATCAGACTATGATTTGAAAATTGAAATCACATTTTTGGTAAAAGTGTTACTACTGATTAAGATTATGATGTGAACTGTGAAGTTACTAGTTAGTGTTCTGAGATTTGTGATGCAATCTTCGTATGTGTAGTCTTTTGATGGTGTTATTATCTGAATAATGTTACCAGCATGTCCAAGTTCCGGTACCAACACCGAAGAACAATGAGGTTTTCTTGAAGTTAGAAGCGACTAGTTTAAACCCTGTTGATTGGAAAATTCAGAAAGGAATGATTCGGCCGTTTTTGCCTCGCAAGTTCCCTTGCATTCCTGGTAAATTCTAATAGCTTTTGAAGTTTTATAAGCTTTCGAAATGTTGGTGGAAGCTTCTTTGATGTTCTTTCTTTAATCAGCTACTGATGTTGCTGGAGAGGTTGTTGAGGTTGGATCTGGAGTTAAGAATTTTAAGGCTGGTGACAAAGTTGTTGCGGTTCTTAGCCATCTAGTAAGTTAGCTGTTGTGGTTAATGTTGTAGCGATTACTCTTATGGAACGTTAGGGGAAAAGAATGTAACTGTTTTGGTTGTTGTTTTTCAGACTGGAGGTGGACTTGCTGAGTTTGCTGTTGCGAGCGAGAAATTGACTGTCAAAAGACCCGAGGAAGTGGGAGCAGCGGAAGCAGCTGCTTTGCCTGTGGCTGGTCTAACGGCACTTCAGGCTTTAACTCAGCCTGCGGGGTTGAAGATGGATGGTACAGGCAAGCAGGCGAATATACTTGTCACAGCAGCATCTGGTGGGGTTGGTCACTATGCAGTCCAGCTGGCAAAACTTGGGAACGCTCATGTAACCGCCACGTGTGGTGCTCGTAACATTGACTTTGTCAAATCTTTAGGAGCGGATGAGGTTCTCGACTACAAGACTCCTGAGGGAGCCGCCCTCAAGAGTCCGTCTGGTAAGAAATATGACGCTGTAGTCCATTGTGCAAACGGGATACCGTTTTCGACATTCGAACCAAATTTGTCGGAAAACGGGAAAGTGATAGATATCACGCCGGGGCCTAGTGCGATGTGGACTTATGCGGTTAAGAAAGTAACAATGTCAAAGAAGCAATTAGTGCCGCTCTTGTTGATCCCGAAAGCTGAGAATTTGGAGTTTATGGTAAATCTGGTGAAGGAGGGGAAAGTGAAGACAGTGATCGACTCGAAGCACCCTTTGAGCAAAGCCGAGGATGCTTGGGCCAAAAGTATCGATGGACATGCTACTGGGAAGATCATTGTTGAGCCATAATAGCGTTTTCGGGATCTTTAACTGTATGTGTTACTAAAAGTGTCTTCCGTTTTACAATACAGATTACTTTCTTTTGTGAAGTTATGTAAGAGTCCTCTGTTCTCTCATTACTTTCTTTTGTTGTTTATAAAAAATTGAATGGAATAGTGAGTTGTTTTGGTAAGTATTGTTTTTCAGCTATCTTCAGCCACTAACGTCATCTTCGCCACCACTCTCCAGCTGTGGCACCGCGGCCAATGGCTAGTTTCAGCCGTCGTTGTGGCATTCATATGTCCATCGGCTTGACTCTTGCCATTGTGGCTCTTGTGTTGGTTTCAGGTTTCAACCAATTAGTTTCTCTGATATGTTTTGTTGAAAAACATAAGAAAATTCACATTCTTGAATAAAATTTATAATTAATGACATTTTAATAACTTTCGCCAATCAAGAGGTTTAATTTCACTAACATACAAAAGTTCCATGTTTTATATGTTCATGTAAATAGAATTATATAGTATATAATTTATTCAAAGCACTTAACCAATCCTATTTTGATTTTAAAATCTATGGAAAACGACGAGGTGACTAGAATAAGATATAATAAACTAGAACGAACTAAACACTCCCTTAACAGAAATTTCTCATCTTGTATTTTTCATAGCAGCAAATAGGAAATAATTAATTATGAATTTGCCATTTATTTGTGACCAATTTTTTGATTTTGCCATTTTTGGTAAAATCTTATGAATTTGCTATTTTTAGGTTAAAAATATGTGACTAAACATGCATTGTTCTTGTTATGCTTGGATTTAGTACGTTCTAATTGTCTTTAGGATTTAGTATTTATTATTAAGTACGTCTTTTATAAAGAAAAATGGACATTTTAAAAATTCAAAAATTGCAAATCCATATGATTTTAGCAAAAATGTCACATTCGTAAAAACATTTCCTAAAAAATGGCATTTTCCGTAAGAATCCTAACAGTAAACTTAGTAGATATATTTTCTCGGTGGCAGATTTATGTCTTTCAAATATTTTATTGAACACTATTTCTACAGTCTGCTTTTTTTTTTCTATGTTCTTTTTAAATAAAATACATAAATAAATTACACTTAATTCATCATACCAAAACATATGTGAGAAGACAATGTTTACATGAAGAAAGAAAACATTTTACATGAAAACATAACAATGCAAATTGATTCAAGCGTGAAAGGTTAACAATACCAAAATTCAACGTGGATATAAATCGGTTACCGAGACATCGCCAACAGAAGCTACAATAGACTTGCTAGTCGTAGATTGATTTGAATCAAGCTTCTCTTTTTTAGGTCCATTCTGAACGAAAAACCCTGGCTGTTGTGGTACCGGTAATATCACAGTATTACTAGTAAGCATCGCGTAGATGGTTGACAAGATTGGACGTTCAACAGGATCTTCTTGAACGCATAACAGACCGATATGGATGCACCGAACCACTTCACTCTTCTGGTAGTTATCTGCAATAACTGGATCCACGAGATCTAGTGCTGTTCCGTTATTCCAAAGCCTCCAAGCCTAACATTATCAAGTAGTCTATTAGTTACTTTGCAACCATGGTTCAAGGTAAATATGTATTGTCTTTAGACATACATATGTGACCAAGTTATGTGCGATGTCTGTCTCGTCGAAGCTTCTATTCTTCCTACCGCTTATAAGTTCAAGAACTAACACTCCGAAGCTATAGACATCAGATTTCATTGAGAACTTGCCATGCATAGCATATTCAGGAGACATGTAACCGCTAGAATCCATGAGAAAACTTTAGTATGTTGGCAAAATAATGTTTAACAAACTTTTACTGATGAAAAGTTAAGTGGGAATAAGACTTACTAGGTACCAACAATTCTGCTTGTGTTCTCTTGGGTTTGGTCCATTCCAAAGATCCTTGCCATTCCAAAATCAGCAATTTTCGGATTCATATCCCCATCCAGAAGAATGTTACTCGCTTTGAGGTCACGGTGTATGATAGTGAGCCGTGAATCTTGATGAAGATATAGAATCCCCCGAGCAATTCCTCCAATGATCTTGTATCGTCGAGCCCAGTCCAGCTGACCTTGCTTTGTAGGGTCTGTGCACATACATAAATTATAAATGACTCTAAAGATCCCAATTTTTGAAGATTGACTAACTTGAATAATGTAACTGACCAAAGAGGAAGTAATCAAGGCTCTTGTTGGGCACATACTCGTAGACCAATATCCTTTCTTCTCGCTCTAGAGAAAATCCCAAAAGCCTAACCAAATTTCTATGTTGAAGTTTCGCAACAACAACAACCTCGTTCTTGAACTCTGTTTCGCCTTGCCTCGAAGTTTTTGACAACCTCTTCACCGCAACTTCAGTCCCATTAGTTAATATACCCTATCCATTACCATCATCTCGTTATCGTTGACATGAAATTTTAACTAAAAAGTACACAACCTAACACCTATATTACGCAAAACAAAACTCTTAAGTCGCTATTTTTTACAACTTGTATGTATCTTGTATGTATCTTCGAATAGCTTTTCCCTTCACCATTTGGACTTAAGTTATATTTTGGGAGACTGTGAAGTTGAGTAGTACAGTAATTTAGAGGATGATAGTTTCAAATATCCTTAAACATATATAGTATATATACCTTATACACCTCACCAAATCCGCCTTCACCGATCTTATTACGGTCTGAATAATCATTTGTTGCAGCTCGAATTGTTCTATAATCAAGTTGCAATGAATCTATGGTTGTCATATCATCTCCTATTAGCACAATAGAAGTCTTAGTAGATGACATAATTATGTCAAACCTATTAATTGAATCTTTACCATCAAATGTGGGTGCAGTCTCATTAGTCTTCTTCACCTTCTTTGTAAAAAAACAATAACCAGCAATGAGAAGCAGAACAGCCACCACTATTATAGATCCAATAATGGCTACCATTAACAAAGTTGAACTCCCACGTTTTCCTGCGTTTCAAACGTACCAAAGTATTTAATTTTCTGTATTAGGATTAGGACTTAGGAGCAATGTTCTAAAATACGGTATACACTATTTGTACGACACATCACTGCTTAGCGTATAGTATATACGGTCGTTTATGGATATATTTTATATATGTAGACATAAAATTTGTTACCAAAATATTTAACATTTTTATACTTACAAAATATTTTAAAAATTCTGAATACCTAAGAAGTATGAAAAAATAGAAAATAATGATATATTCACTTCATAGTTAATTTGTTTAAGAAAATTATCAAACAGTTACAATTTTATAAAAATATTATCAAATGATAAAGTTTTTTGTTTTTGAGTTTTCGGAAAATCGTTATATATGCAGGATTTAAAGTATATACGCTATATGTACGCCATATATATGGACCATATAGCTTTTACGGTACTGAACCACTTTATAGCTATACAGCGTATATATGGTCGTCCATAACGTAATTTAGAACACTGATTAGGTGATAGAAAATCGGAGATCGACTATTGAGATGTCAACCAAGCCCAAGAATATGGAAAATATGAAGATGTGGAGATTCTTGGGCTTCTTTGACATCTCGACCGTTGATCTCCGGTTCTCTATCTCCTAATACTTCATAATTAATTCTAAAACATGAAAAAAAACAGAGCTCTGACCAGGCTGTGGAGGAGGAGGAGGAGGAATAGCTGACACCGGAGGAATAGAAACTGTTGGTGGTTGAGATATCAGTGGCGATGGTATATTTATGGATGATTCGTTGTAAAAAGGGTAAAGCTCGTATCTTGAATTACAGCTCGGGACAAGAAGTCTTCCCCCGATATTTGTAAAAGGTAATTGACTGATGCTAAATTGCAGACAACTAAAACAGTCTTGTGTTGTCAGATCAGGAGTGCACTGAAGCAGTACGTACAAAACCTGGAATGCAGAATAATTAGCTTTTCTCGCATCAAATTTTCTTGGGCTGGCTAGGGCTTCCTTGGTGGCTTCGTTCATCGTGGACAAGATCACGTCTTTGAACCGGCCTTGTTCGTTTGTGGGAATATCTTTTGGGTTTCTTTGTGTATAATCTCCATAGGTCATAGAGATGGAAAGAATATTCCGGTTAGAATATCTGAGCATACACTCATCGTAATAGAGCACGACCTCTCTCACGTTAGGACATAATCTTAACGATTCTTGGACCGAAAAGGCAACGCAGCTGCTGCAAACTTCCGGGGAGTAATCTCCGCGGCAAAGAAAGAGTCCGGTGACTCTATCGGGGGCTTGTCCGGCCGTGGCATTTTGAAATCCGGTCGAGTATGAAGCCTTGGGTGAAGAGAGGGAAGACAAAAGGGTTTTGAGATTGGTGAAGTAAGTGCTGTTTTTTGAATATGTTGGCGTCGCCGTTGCCGTTGCCGTTGTTGTGTTGGGACAGTTGTGGTATATGTAATTAGGATTTTGAGCAGAGGCTCTGAATATAGTGATGAAGGAGAAAAGGAAAATAAGATAGATTAAAGAGGCACGAGAAGACATGTTTTGGTAACTTCACTTATATCTGTTCTACTCTATGGAGCTCCCATTTATATATACACTGGAGTAAGGGATGGTTTGTGACTTTGAAAAGTCCATCAAAATCAAAGTTTCTCTTTTTGTTTTATTTTGTTTTTCTTATAGTAACTCACATATACATATTTTTTAAAGATAAAACTGATAATGAAAAATGAGAAATTCCCTAGGATACCAGAAATTCCCTTCGATACCATCGTTTTAGTTTTTTTTTTTCAAAGATACTACAATTTGTTTTGAATGTTAAAAAAAATTAGTTTTAGGTTTATGGTATTTTTGAAAAAAATATTTTAGTGTTATTTTCGGAAAATAAAACTTTTAATTGTACTTTTGGAATAAATACCTACTTTCATAGTATTTAAGAAAATTCCCAATAGAAACTTAACCAGTTTATAATTTTGTTTCAAAGTTAGTCGGTTAACTTGAAAGCAATGTGACAAAAAGCTTTAAAATACCTCATTTATTTTTTATTTGGACGTTTAATACCTGATCTTTTTTGGTTAGAAGAATAATATCCAAAATAATAAAAACGTGCAATTTAATACCTAAACTATTAAATATTGACATTTTCCTCCCTACGATCTCTCAACAAAAAATATATTCCAATTTTACCCCTATTCACTTTTATTTATTATTAATGCATAAAAGACTATATTTTACTTTACTATTTCATTGTAATATTTCTTTATATCTTTAAATAAAAATATATATTTCATATTTCAATATTCATTTTTAGATATGAAATATATAATGCAAAATATATCTTTCGTTGGATCTTTTAGAAGTTTTGGATAAAAATAGAATACAATTTTTGGATATAAAATATATCTTTCATTGGATATCTTAAAAAGTGTTAGATAAAAATGAAAAATGAAACGGTTAATTAGCTGTTTTTCTGGTATTTTTCAAGAAGGTGGGGCTGGAAAATACTTGGGGCTACCCGAATGTTTCAGTGGTTCAAAAACAGAGATACTAAGTTACATCACTGAGCGTCTGAAGGCTAGACTCAGCGGTTGGTATGAGAAGACCCTTTCTTTAGGAGGTAAAGAGGTGTTATTAAAATCTGTCGCTATGTCTCTCCCGGTATACGCAATGTCCTGCTTTAGGTTAACTAAACACCAATGTCAGAAAATCAATAGTGCTATGTCAAGCTTTTGGTGGAATGCAACTGAGGACAAGCATAAGATGCATTGGGTCTCGTGGGAGAAGCTATGTCAATCTAAAAAACGAGGAGGCCTTGGTTTCCGGGACATTGGACAGTTTAATCAAGCACTATTGGCTAAACAAGCTTGGCGTTTGCTTCACTATCCGGATTCATTGTTGTCAAGAGTGTATAAGGCCAAATATTTTACAGATAAAGGTTTTCTTGAAGCTAAACTGGGCTATAGACCGTCCTATGCTTGGCGTAGCATCATGTTTGGAAGAGAATTGTTGGAAAAGGGTCTAATGAAGTCCATTGGTAATGGAGTCTCTACATCGGTCTGGCTGGATAAATGGGTTTATGATGACAAGCCAAGGCGACCGTTCAACAAAGAATCGAGAATGGATATCAATATGAAAGTTGCAGCGCTGATAACACCACAGGGTGAATGGGATCTCCACCTCTTAAATGAGCTCTTTCTACCTTGTGATATCATAAGCATATGTTCATTTCCACCGAAAGTTGATTTGAGTGACAGTGTAGTTTGGGCGTACACATCAAATGGTAGTTACACTGTTAAAAGTGGCTATTGGTTACTTTCTCACTCGGGAGACCTGCTAGAATCAGTCTCGCAAAACAAGCAACAGCTGAACCGCCTCAAAGAAAAAGTGTGGGCTTTGCGAACAGCCCCAAAAATAAAATTGTTCCTTTGGCGAGTCCTCTCAGGTGCTGTAGCGGTTGGAGAGTGTTTGAGAAGACACGGAATTGGTGTAAACACTCTGTGTAAAGTTTGCACGAGGGATGAGGAGACTATATCTCACGTTCTCTTTAAGTGTCTCTCTGTTTTTCAGGTTTGGGATGTGAGTGGTCTACCAATACCTACACAAGGTTTTTCAATGTCGGTTCCAGAGAATATGGAGTACATGTTTTCGTTAATGGAGAAAACAGAGATAGCCTCACATTTGCGAGCAGCGATACCATGGCTACTTTGGGAGATTTGGAAAGCTAGAAACGGGTTAGTGTTCTCACAACAAGCTATAAACCCCCATATCGTGTTGGTCACGGCATTAAGAGACATGGAGGAATGGTGTCAACAACAAGAAAACCATGAGAATGAGTTCCGGGTTGGTGGTAGAGTACTTCTGGCAACCGGAAAACTGTGGATTCATCCGCCGTATGGGACGCTCAAATGCAATATTCATTCATCTTGGATAAACGAATCTTCTTTTAGTGGTGGAGCTTGGGTCTTGAGTAATCATGAATGAGATGTTTTGCTTCATGCGAGAGATGCTTTTCGGCCTTGTTATAATCGTATTGCATCGGAGCTGAAATGTGTTCTATGGAGCTTATCTAGTTTACATGATCTGCATTATGACATTTGCGAAGTTTGGTTGGACTGTAAGGCAGCTTGGGAAGCTATCACAAATCCAGTTTCTTGGCCTAAATATCGGGCATCGTTATCTAAGATCGGGCAAGTAATACGGGTGATGCGGAAGGTTTCTTTTCACCTTTCTTCACCGAAAGCTAATTTATTGGCTAGAGAGATTGCTTGCAGCGTTACACGGGATGGTCGACTAACTTCGTATCTAGCGCTTGGTGGTCCGTCTTGGCTTCATGACCGGATTGAAAGGGACAAACGTCGTGGAGTTTAATTCTTGGTTTCTTTTCCTTTACGATTTTTGGTTTCCATCTTATGGCTTATGGTTTTGTTATGCACAATCATTTTCTAATAATATTGAATCATTCAGCGTTAAAAAAGAAAAGAAATATACATATCATTTTTGGATATGAAATATATAATTCCATATATATATGTCTTTCATTAGATTTCTTAAAATATATATTTGGATAGAAATAAAATATATATTTGGATATGAAACATATAATTCAAAATAAACCTTTCATTGAATCACTTAATATTTTTGGATAAAAATGAAAAATGAAATATATATATTTTGAAGTAAATCTATAAATTAATGATGCAATGAAATAATACTAGCAAATATTTTTCTTTCAATAAAATTGTAATTAATTTCATGTCATTTATACACTAATAATAAATATAAGTGAAGAAGGGTAAAATTGTAATTTTTTTTTGTTGAGAGATCGTAGCGAGGAAAATGTCAATATTTAATAATATATGTATTAAATTGCACGTTTTTATTATTTTGGATATTATTCTTCCAACAAAAAAAAATCAGGTATTAAACGTGCAAATAAAAAATAGGTGAGGTATTTTTAAGTTTTTTTTCCGTTTATTTTTTCTTTTTCTTTTTCTTCCCTAAAATTGGAAAACGAACGATGTACTTAGTTATTCACAAATATGTGTTTCCATGTGTACACTGAACGAGTACATCTTTTCTCATTTGTTCATTCATTTTTCCGGCATCAGCTTACGTAACTCCTTAGTATTTGAAATAATTCCAATATGCAGAAGCGAAGGATGCGAAGGATGCGAAAGTGAAGATAAACAGTGTGAAACATATTGAAAAGATGTAATGGATGAATGGATGACGAATGCATGTTGAAAAGATGTAAAATATACACATATAAGTTTAGAAGCATGTTAGAATTGCCGGATAATTAGATTTTTTTTTTGCTGGTTTATTGTTGAATTAATTTTTAATTTAAATCGGAGGTTGTATTGTTTGATTGTTGGTTTAGTTGATTGTTCTGCTGGTGATGCTGATTTAAATGGGTTTAGTTAATTAATAACTAGATTTTACCCCGTGGTACACCACGGGCCTAGTATTTTATGTATACCTGATATGTTAAAGTTTAACCGTTATAGTTTATATATATGTAATATGTTGTATGATAGTACATGTAAATGTGTGTTTATCTTTATATATTTTTTTTGAAAATAGTATATAAAATTAATAGAGGATGGTTTAATGATAGTTTGTAGTTATAATGGCTAATAGTATTTGTAGATTAATGAAATAGTGTGTAAAAAATGATTTGAATTTACACTTTCATAGTGGGCTTAGTAGAAGTGTGTAACTGTAGCTCGTGATTTTTGCTAAGCAAACTTAATGGACCCCGATGCATAATGTATCTTTGGTTTACTGTAACTAACAGCAAAACGTACATACATAAAACTAACATTTCAACGTTTACACGATCTTAATTGTCGCCGATCTAAAACGGCTGTTCATCAAATTTTTCTTTCTTGTTGAACAAAAGATTTTGTCCGAGATAAAAAAGATTTACCCCGTAGTACACAACATATCTATTTTTTATAATTAATTATTAAAAGAAGTTAATTAGTTTAATGATTTTATTGTTTAGTTAATATAAATGTTACGATGTGTATATACGTTGTTGTATAACCAAATTTACCTCATGGTAAATTTTTTGGTTTTAATATTGATGTTACTGTGTATATATTTTGATGTGTTTTTAATAATTAATAGATTTTGTTATTGAATATATGTGGTGAAAAAACTATAAGTATGCGGTTTTTTAAAATGCACTATAATTAAACTCATATTTGCTAAAATATATGGATAGTATACAAAATGTATCAATACAGTCCTACTGTAAGATTTTTTCTATAGCTGCAAAAAAGTATTTTTGATTTATCATTTATAGTGCTTAATAAGATTTGGTTTTTATGTTATACACCATTTACCCCGTAGTACACACGAGCCAACTTTTTATATTTAATTTTGTATATAAATTTTGTGATTTTGTATTATAAAATGAATGAGTATTATATTCAAATTAATAATGAACAAAATACATTTATTTAGTAACTACCAAGCAGTAAAAGTTGTCATCTTGTATTAAATTCTAATATTTTAATACATTTTTAAATATGAAG